GTACATGGCCCCAGCCAATTTGGGAGTCCGATTGAGCCTCTCCGAAAATTTAGGAGCCTCGCGCGCCATCTATAAAATAAATCGACGGCGGGCGGCTCTCCGAAAGGAGCCCGCGGCCAATGGCTGGCATGTACTGGGGGTTTAACCTATTACAGCATATATTCTGCGTCAAATTTCTTTGAGAAATTGTTAATCCATTACTACTTTTACTGGCAAACAGCATTTAGTGCCGTTTTTACAAATAAAGTTTAATAAATGTTGTGAATGTTTTCAACTTCTTAGTTTTCCACAGAGCACCTATGTTGTTGTTTTTTTTGAACTTTTTCGGTTTCTTTCTAGGCTACCAGAGTGGCCCGGGACCACCAGCCCTCCTGCCAACGTCGCTATCCTACACATGTGACGCGTCTCTCCGCGTGGTTCCGGCGCATGTTGTGATGGTCCTTGTATCATCCAATTTCTTTTTCGCCCCCACGATGCTCTCGTCCTGCCCCTGCTTACTCATCTAGTTTCCACTGCTGAGGTCTCCACTCCTGCAGTTTTCACTGCTGCAATGTCCACTGTTCCGGTTTCCACTCCTGCAGTGTCCACTGCTGCAGTTTCCACTGCTCCAGTTTCCACTACTGCAGTGTCCACAGTTGCGGTTTCCACTGCTGCAGAGTCCACTGCTGCAGTTTCCATTGCTCCAGTTTCCATTGCTCCAGTTTCCACTGCTCCAGTTTCCGCTGCTGCAGTTTCCACTGCTCCAGTTTCCGTTGCTGCAGTTTCTACGCTGCGGTTTCCACTGCTGCAGTTTTCAGTACAATAGTTTCCCTAATTGTAATTCCCCCTACTTTAGTTTTTACTGCTACAGCTTCCTGTCCTGCAGCTCCAATGCATAGAATATCACAATCTCTCCGACGCTCACGTCCTTTGCTCCGAAATCTTGCCCAATGCACCCCCCTCTCATCTTTGTCTGTGCTTGGCCATAGACGATTGCGTTCCTCCTCACCACCCCCATCTCCTCCACGGTCTTGCTTGTGAACAGACTCTCCAGTTTCCATTGTTCCCATTGTTCCACCTGTGTTGCTATGTACAAGTTCAACTTTTGTTTGCAACACCACTACTCTTGTTGTGTATCACCGACGACATGCGCGACATCGTCACTTGTCCAGGGATCAGCAACCTGTTTCTTTGTCCGCCCCGATTCTCTCTGTGCCTCCTCCACAAGTTGTTGCGGTTCCTTTGTTTCAAATGCCGTTCCTATGCCTCCTGCAGACAGTCCAATTGCCTGCAGGCAGCCACCAGTCCCTACTCAGGATGCAGCCACTGCCCAGAGTACACAGTCCCTACTCAGGATGCAGCCCTTAACGTTGAGGGATTGGAATTTGATCTGCCCGGATTGCAGTTGGCCCCACAAGGCGTAGACCACATGGGGGATCTGCAAATGGCTGACCAACATTGTTCGGATGAACCACAATTTTGTGTTCCGCCACACGCAGACCACATGGGTGATCTGCAAATGACTGACCAGCGAACAACCCAACACAGTTTGGGCTTGCAACACCATCTGGGTGATCTGCAAATTGTTGGCCAGCATCCAACAAACCAGCTTGAGAACCTCACCAATCTCTGTGGTCTGACAACAACTAATATCTGTCTTCACATTCTCCATCGCCCGTTTTATACACCATCAGACGTCCTTGCAATCGCCCTTCAACTTGATGCTGATCTTCCCCAACGACGACCAGAGGATTGTAATTATACCAGCGAAGGAGACTTTACCATTGCTGTCCTGCAAGTAGCAATGAGGGACCGTCAACTTGAGCTCCGCAATGCTTGAGCAGGTGAGTGGTTTAATCCTCCATCCCACATCTCCGCCTGCATTGTGCACGGCCATTTTGCGGCCGTGGGCGCTATACTGAATGCATGCTCTTTTGTGGTGATCATTCTTCTTTCGTTTTGGCCTGCAATCGACATGCCATTTGTGAGGGGTGTATGGCGGGCATGCTCAATGCCACCCGTCGTGGGAATTGTTGCGCTGAGAATGCTCAGCTAGGTCTTCCATGTGTTCATCCGCGTCATCCTTACAATGTATGTGCTCTCTGTCGCCAAGGACAGACTCATTCTTGAGCCTTTTCTTATCCTCTTTTGCCTTCATCTTCACTCCACACTCCATACTTTCCCTTACTTTCCCTTTATCGTTCTTTGTTTGTCTGCTCTCCATCTCTCCTCCCTGTGTCTTCACTCTGCCTCTTTCTCACAGCGTACAAGTGGGCTGTAATGGCACACGGGGATGGGGGCAGCTCGCGCTCAACTTCATCAACGTGGCGAGCCTTGTAGGTGAGAGGCACAGTGAAAGGGGAGTCAAAAGAAGAATGAGTAAAATGAATGTTTTCACTGTGCCCTTCATGTTTGTCTTGTTTTTTTTTTATTTTTTATTTTTGCCATTTGTTTCGCAAATTGCACTCTTTTAGTCCATATTTGCGCTCTGATTCACAATGTGACGATATATATAGTTTTTTTATTAAAAAAAAATGGTTTTTTTTTTTTTTTGCTGGGACCTTTCTTGGTCCTTGAACAGCCGGGCTGCCCAGGAAAACATGGTGACCTGAGCGGCCTGGCTGGTAGCCTAGGTTTCTTTCTTTTTTTCCCCATCTATTGCAGTCTGGAGAAGTGGATTTAATAAACCAGTCCCATGTGGTGGAATGGTACACCCATGAACTGTTGATAAACGGACTCGAGTTTGAATCCCCTGATGGAATCAGACGAGTAAACTAACACTGACTTAACTGGGACTGATCAGTTTGACGATGATACCTCAAGGCTGTAACCCTCCTTTTTGCCATTTACACCTGTTATCACCATGATGTCAGGTCGATGTACATCTCCGGTCACGTTTGCGATGTTTTGCTTCAATGCCTCAAATGTCCGCCTTGTGATCGCCTTAGTCGCTGAGAACCTTGCTCCATATCACCGTGATGTCAGGTCGATGTACGTCTCCGGTCATGTTTGCGATGTTTTGCTTCAATGCCTCAAATGTCCTCCTTGTGATTGCCTTAATCGCTAAGAACCTTGCTCCATCCATATCTGTGATCCCCGTCGATGTCAATGTTTGCCGTCTCCATATTTTTGCATCTCGGCGTTTGTTTCCATGTGACTGTCCTCTCCTCTGGCCATCACCATCCATTGTCCTCCATCAAACCACCAAAACCTCGGAGCCTATGTTCTGCGGAGGCAGATCTGTTTTGTGTTCGTTCAGGCCAGAGAGGTCCAACAGGTCGACCCTGTGCAAATCCCCGAAGAACCCGGGATGTCGCATTTTCAATTTGACTGGGGTGAGGTACTGGTAGTTTAAATCTTTCACCCATCTTGTTTGTTCTGCCGTCGGCCTCTGTTGTCGTCGGGGTCTGTGTCATTTACCCATCATCATCCTTTGTCTCTGTATTTTGAACTGTTTCTCGATTTATGGAGTATTGCTAACCTTCTCTCTATTGTTCCGATTTTAACGTATGTCCTGAAGGACCGCCTAACTCCTCGGTGATTTTGGCCTGTCGTTATCCTTGTTTTCTCTTTTATCGCTTGCCTGTTCGTGTGTCTCCCCTCTCCTAGCTATTTGGCCTTGCTGCCAGTAGGCATTGTGAATATCATTCTCATCGAGGCAAGAGACATCATCCAGGTAGATGTGATTAGCAAATCCGATCCATTTGTGGTGATGTTCATCCACAAGAAGCAAGGCCTTGTGAAGCGCAGCTCAAGCAAGAAGAATACACAGAAGCCCTATTGGAACGAAGGCTTTGATCTAGAGGTGAGTTCTCATGACCCTGAGGGTATCATGTCCCGAGGGGAAAGGATAGGATGTCAGAAAAAAATCCCAATTGCCTGTCATTCTCACCCTGTTCCTTTCTCTACCTCATCTGCCCCTTTTCTTCCTCCTCTTCCTGTCT